TTTACACAGCATTTTCCAGGAAAAAGTTCAAACAAATCCAGGTGGTTACTGTGAGGAGGTCCTTATCTCATCTCGCTCAGTAAGTAGTACAGTGTAATTAGCTAATTATTCTATTCAACATGGGTGAGCTGCTTGCTAAATACTGCCACAGCACTTTGTGTAATGAAGTTCCACCTAGTCTGACATATTTGAATCCAAATATACGAAGAAGACAAATCCACACGTTAATGAAAGGTTAGGATATTTTGTGATTCATTTGTAAGTGTACCTGCAAAATTAATTTGCAGCGGAACTGTCGCTCTACCAAAAGGTAGGGGTGTTTAATGTGAAACCAAACAAATTTATGCAGCTTAAATTATCTGCCAATAATAACATAAGAGGACAAGACACTACCTGAGAATTTAAACAGGTAACATAATCCATCATTGCAGTATCTTCCTTATGTTGGATGTCTGTGTTTTTATATTATGATTTGCATATTTCAGGACAGGACAGAAATGCATATTACATTCACTAAGTAGAACTTTTGAAAAAAAAAATTCTTGATGAAGAAATAGATGAAGTAAATAGAAAATATCCAAAGCCACAAGGCATGAAATCAGGGATTAAGTTAAGTGTGTAATATTCTGTGCTCCAGGATCCTGTGGGTTTCAACCTGGCAGAGCTGCAGGATGCTGGCAGCTTCTTGAGGACTCATTTCCTGCCTTCTTGACGACAGCTGAGTGTGAGGCGGCTGCACTGTTTATAATTTTTGCGACAATAAAGGCAGTTCACATTCAATAAAGACACTCCATTAACATTTCCCTGCTGTAAAAGCTTTATAGCCACCGTCCTGGGTTTTAATACTCTATAGGAATGGATCTCAACAAGCCCTTGTTTAGGTCAACATTTAAAAACTTGTGGAATTTTGATGTTTTCAGCCTACCCTAATGAAGTCATTTTGTCACCCTGGCAACGGAAATGGTGTTTTTCAAGTCACTGTTATATTCTACATCTTAGAGGGAGGAATTCTTCTGCAAGGAATATGAAGCAAAGGGGTAGGTTAGGAGAACAAACAACAGAGGGAGTAAGAATAAATAGGGGAAGATGAGAAAGTGTCAAAGAGAATAAATTCCAGGGGATGTGCAAAAGACATATGTAAATGGAATCCAATCTCTGTATAGGGAGATTTAGAAAGAAATAAGTCAATTATTGCGAGCTGTTGGAAGGTGTGAATGAAGTTAAAATAATCCCGATAAGATAAGAATTAGAGAGAATTAGTAAGACTTTTGTCTTATAATTGATGTGTAATCAATTACTAAGAATTATAACTACTTATAATACTGTATTTTTATTTTTTATTTATATCTTTCCATTTATTTTTATTCAGATCACATTTTCCTGCTCCATTTCCTGTTTTTTATCTCTGATTCTTTTTAATTCACCTTTTATCTTTTCTTTTTTAAGTTACTGATTATGTCTTACACATTTATCTTTAGCTATGTTCATGGGATTGTTTTGTCTGTTTTCCAATAATTTTTTATCTCTCATGTTCTAATCCATTGTTTGAGCAGTCAACGCCTATTGTGTATATGTCAATGTGATGAAAAACGACATATGCCTAATACATCAAGGCATTGCTTTGAAGTTTTTAATGGCGGACGTGAATCACATTAGGTGGGGTCTACAAACTCTTCTGCACCTCAGGCATAAGAAGAGAATAAGACAAAGGAAATAGCAGAAGACAGTACTACAGCCAGAGGGCATCAGTCCCATTAAATATGGAGCCTCTGTGAACACTTCTTCTGATCTATAGGGAAAAAGAGTCGCCTGTAGGCAACCAGGTGCTAAATGTTTTTATTTGAACATTTTCTGTGTAGTATTACATTTCCTATGGTCTGCAGTGATTTAAGAACTTTTTACTCCTTCTGGCCTGAGCCCCTTACCTCTCTCTTGAATCTTAAGAGAAAAATAACCTTACAAAGAGTAAAAAGTGTTAACTTCTCAGTAATGAAAATGTCTGTCTTACAAACCCACTGTATTCACATTTCCTTTATAACTATTCGCATCTCTCTTTCCTTTTTTCAGTTACTCAGACTTCATCATTTATGCAGAGATGAGATGAACTTCCATACAAGAGCCCTTAAAATTAACTCTTTCTTTCTTTAACAGAGCCCTCACCCAAGCTATAAACAGACCTCAGAATGTGAGCCCCACAAGGAATTCCAGCACTCAGAACAGCATTCCACTGCTCCTTCCTTTATTTTATTCCCCAGGCCACGAAACAAAAAAATCTTTTTAAAAGATGAACCTTCTACTAGAACACCTTTTCATCTCATACTGCTGACCAACTGATCTATACTTATTGTACACCATTCCCTTGACCATCCTACTGCTGCCATGCATACCAGGTGCAACAGAACCAGCTGCATACAGTACATACATATATATATATACTGTATATATGTGCTATAGAATTTATATAAATGGCCTTTTCAAAATAATCTATATGGTATCATGTATTGCATCTACAGTACAATAAGTGCACTTGGGAAAACAGGAAGAAGACAACCCAAATGTTTCAGGAAATATGTCAGAGGATTAAAGATCAAAACTCTCTCTATTCTTAGAGTCCTCCATTTTACCTCTCTTTCTCATGATGACACTGACCTTTCTGTCTGTGTATGTTCATATGAAGACATAAAGTCAAAATTATTGTAAGGTACATTTTGGAAAACTAAAAAAAAAATTAAAGCTAATGCATTGATTTCAAGAACCAATTCAGCTAGTATGATAAGGGTATGAGTTAATTGTGTGTGAGAGCTTTGATGGGGAATGATCATGTGTTAGGCGTTTATTAAAACAAGCTCTGGAACAGCATATGTCATGGATATAGTATGAATGGTATAGAAGTACTGTATATAGTGACCCCAATAAGTACTATACTTCACTTTTATAGCAAACTACGCCACCTAACAAATTTAAGGTTGTTAGGAACTTTCCCCCCCACAACAAGTTCATTATATTTCTGAGAACCAACTGTGCACTCATAGACCAGACAAGACATCTGATACAAGCCCTTTTTATTACAGTCTATTAAGCTAGGAGTTACAGCATCTATTACTGGTCAATCTGAAACACAGAACCCTTCACACTTCATATTATTTATAAGGGACACACACCCATAGACCAGCACAAGAACCCAGTGGACCCCAGTTACCAAAATGTCCCAAAGGAAAGCAACATTTTTTTTCCATGAAAGCAGCTCTAGTCAATGACCTGGTGTGCCTCCTTTCTGCCCTCCCAAACAGTGTAGTGCCTTATGCTCTCCCCCAATATTGTTTTGTGCTTGTCCAGTATTGGGTAAGGGCTGGAGGAAGAGGGTATCAGAGCCTTCCTCTACTATACTCTGTAGAGTTCCCCCTTGGTGTCAGAATCCTCTCTGTCTAGGGGTGCAATCTGTGTTCCTGCAGATTCTTCATATTCTATCTTCAAATTCTGCTCCTTTGTTCTAAGACCTCCCGATTGAGGCTTATTAAACCCCTTCCTGTCCAGAGCTCAGGACTTGTTATGAGGTGAAGAGTTTTCAGTGTGATATCATAGTTGCAGGTACAGCTAACAGCTCGGGGTTAATACTGAGTGTATTCAGACCGTCTGGTGTCGTGGAGCTTTGTCTCTCCTTTGTTAACCTCTGGCCCAGGTTTAGAACACTTTGGCTCAGAACCACCACACACCTCAACATGCCACCTCTTACTGTTTCATAATTGAGTGATGTCTGAACAAACATTGTGTCCTTTCAGCTTTGTTGATTGGTACACGCCACACTATTTGTGCTTGAAGACTTTCATTAGAGAGAGGCAGCAGTCACCAAAAATTCTGCCACTATATCAAAATTTAATGTCAATATAATCCCTGACACCTGCTGATCTACACCCACTTTTATCACTCTGTGATATATACAGAAAAGACTGTTACTGTTACTCTTACAATGGAAAACTATGACAGATCACTACTCAATGAGTGCCAGGTTATATAGTATATCCTTAACTGTGACTACTGCTTCTCTTGATGGATAAGGGAACACCTGAACCAAAAGTGATTCAAATATTGTACAGGTGGTATCGATAATCACCCATATCCTGTGATCATAGCACACAACACACACACACACACACACACACACCATAACAATATGGTGGAATGGAGAGAAAAACAACAAACACAACAATGAAGAGTTATTATGGATCCACACTAACATGTAATACATAAAACATAATGAACACCATAGCACAAACAAACATCATATATGCAATTACACACCAAGTCAAAAGTGAAACTAAAAGTTTCAATCGGAATCCAATGCCATGGTCAGACAGGCAAGGGTCGAGCCCAGGCAGTGTTTCAAGCACGGGAATCTGTCCAGCACATGGACAAAGAAGCAGGGTCGAAGCATGGAGATATACAAAACACAGAGGAGATCAGGAAGCCATTGTCAGAAATGAAGGAGATTCGAAAACTAGGAGATACTTGAAAGCACAAAGGATACCAAGACTTGAGAAGGACACACGAATGACTGAGCAAAGGGCATTGTCAAAACAGGGCTTAAATACCCGGAGGTAGGTGCCGTCTAAATTGGGTGTAGGTGGTATCAATAATTGCCCATATCTCGTTATCACAGCACTTGATGAATTATCAAACCAAGTGGTTATTCAGCCTGTTGGTATAGAGATATGGGAAGGCAAGCTGGTGTTTAAATGGGTATTAGTGACACCAGTATTGAGTGTCCCATGAGACTGTGTTTATTTCTGCCTTCTATTTTGTTTTTGTAGATGGGGAGTGTTTTGTTCTCATTACTATTTCATAGTCTATGTTTACTGCATATTTGACGTCACAACAAATGACCCCCACACAAAAAACAGCATTTTACAGGTACTGTTTATATAGTTTATTGTTTTTATGTTTCGTTTCTTTCACTTAAACATAATAAATATTTAAATAACATCATAAAATAAATATTTTATTAAAAAAAGAAATTGGCTTATAACAGCTATATATCTGAATACTTAAAACAATGCTGTTGTACAACACTATTGAATAATATGCAAAGGTAATAAAAAAGCATAACAAAGGGTATTCAATTCAGAAAAATATAAATTTGCATTTTACTACTTTGTTATGTATACTCTATATTGTTGTCACAAAGTTTGTAACAATGAATTATTACTCAGTAATTACAAAATTAGTCTTGTTGAAAAATATTTCTAGGATACTTTAAAATCACAATCATAATATATATACATATGTATGCCTCATATGTAAAAAATACAGGATTGCTTACCATAAGACACATAGACAAAGCACAAGGTCTGTAAAGATAACCTTTGAGCATGGTGTCCATGACAATATGCAGATTTTCTAACAGTCTAATAAGCATTTAGTGTCTAGTGTTCTTGGAGGTTATAAAGTTCTTTTTTTCTTGACCATGTGAATAACAATAATACCGAAATTAAGGCAAATGTTTCAAACTGCATTTATAGTAGGGAAATGAGGTTAATGCAACAAGTTTTCTTTATTCTACTTGTTCTCAAAGGGATCTCATGATCTGCCTCAACATACTGCCACAAAAATACAAGCAATATGTTAGTGTTTATTATGTGACTGTGCTTTCTGACTTGCTGAACACAACACAATGTATTCATCCTGTGATATACAGATGTGAGAGCATGAACTGGAGACAGAAGGAAAGTCTGATGTTTACAATCTACTTAATATGAAAGAGTTTATTTAAGTTCCGGTGTTCCAGCACACAAGTTATGGAATCTTTAACATTAAGAATGTTCTTTTATCTTGTCACATATTCCTTTCTTTGGTAAGAGCACTCTCTTCAGGCATCCAAGAAAAGCATCCCGGTTCCTGTTTGTTTTCACACTTCACGTGTCTTTAAACTTTTTTTGAGCACATTGTGAATATACTATGTTGAAAGGAATATAGAACTCCCTTATTGTGGGCTGCATTCTGCATTAAATTCGGCCAACTCTTTATCTATCATACTATCATTTCACAGTGGCCTTCAATTCTACATTTTGTATTGGGGGGAAAAAAGGGTGCTGCACAAACCACCTCCTTCTTTTATTGTTGCAAATTTTTTTCCTTCTTCTTTGTTTCTTCTCAAGTGTTTTGGATTGAAATTTCAAGCTTGCCTGTCTTTACAGATGGGCTGTCCGGTCTGTGTTTCCTCTCAACTATTTCCATCTTCTTAGCAAACAATGACTTATTTAAGAGAACATGTGCTGTGTGCCTACAAATAGAAAAAAAATATCATCAACATATCTTTGAAACTTTGCTTACTTAATTGTTCTTCAAAAGAAAATCCTTAAAACTCATCTAGGACCACTTTAAATAATTAAACACAAAAAACTCAATTTCCAGTATGCATTCAGATGAACAGTAGTCTTAATATAAAACAATTAAAAAAGCAATACTCTTGTTCTAATATCTACTATGGCATTATTCATTTGTTTATTGTGCTTCAGAAATCATTTTGCAACAAAAACATAAAGCTTATTATTTCAAGATACAATTGGTGATTGAAATGCAAATGAAGGAAGTCAGACCACCAATGTAGCACATATTATACCCAATTAGAAAAATGAAACAGCACTCCAGGATGCTCACTTTATTGATTTTTTTTAATAACAAACAATTTTTGGAAATAATAAAATAATTGTACAATCATTTTGCTTTTGATAATTGTGTAACCTATAACATGGTAACCTCAAAAATCATGGATGGCTTTTCACTGTAAGATGCTAAAGTCATGCCACTCCTGTGCTCATGTCTCCTGTGGTAGGAGGCTGGTCTTTGGCACAGTGGCCTTGTCTGCTGCTTGTGTGGGCTGTGTGAGCCAGTCCCAACTTGGTGCCTAAGAGATGGTAGATCTAACCTCAAGTCCAACCATACACCATACACATGTTCTGCTTCCCAATAATCATTTTTGCATGATTTACATAGTGCTGGGTCTCATTGTGAAATGTTTTAAACAAATGAACTCCGGATCTGGAATAATAAATAATGTAATGGAAATGTAATGGAACCTCAGTAACATATATCTATATTTCTGAGATGAATATGTAAAGGCAGAGTTACATTTTTCTCTGGTCCCTTCTTACAAAAGTTAAATACAGCTCTGTATTTTTTTTTAAGTATTGCATAGAGCTAAGTATTGTACAGAAAAGAAAGAGGATCATCACCCTACCCTTACTCTAAATTTGCGCCATGTGAGAGGAACTTTTTCTGATCAGTCTAAGACTATAGAGACTAGATTCTAGATTCTTAACTTAGAACGCCTGCTGTCCTGGTTATTTTTGGATATTATGATTTCCTGTACTGCGGAATGCTCTGACTCAAAACATTTTCTCCTAGTTGGAAGAGAGATTTAATTTTGTGGTTGTTCTCTTTTTGGCATGTTAAGGTGGTGGATATTTTTTTCACTTTACATGGTTGAATCCACTGTTTCTAGATCTGTAGGATGTAGGCTTCTGAAAAGCATTGATTTTTACTTATGTGGTTATAATATAACTGGTGTATGTTGTGTAATTGTGTTATTTTATTGCTGATAATTGTATGTCAGTTCAGATTTTACTTCTGTTTTATTACTCTAAGAGCCAGAGGACATAAAAACCTTGCATGGCTCATTTTTACCTACATGTACCTGGTTCTTTCCCTCCCATTTATTTAGTGATCCTCTTTTGCATTCCATGTGCTCACTCACATCTAACTATTGTGCAGTGTGTGTTTCCATAACATGTTAACTTATGACTAGTTATTCACAGATAGACATAAATGCCTCTTCTGTTGGCTCCATCCTCATCACACCATCACAGAAATAATGACGATATATTAGATACTACATACTCTTGCAGAAGATATTTCTTTGTGCAGAATCTTCTGCACTGTACATCGCTGTTGCTCACACAGAGGCACCTTGCAGTTTCTCTTCTAAGGCGCACTGGGTAATAACCAACTCCATATGGTACAACCTGTCTGAAATCAGAGAGAGACATTTTGAGTAAGAACAATTATTATTATCCAGACATGTAGTATACGGATGCAGACAATGTATTAAGTCAATTTTAATACAATGTATTAAGCAGAGAGATGGCAGCTTGTGGATTTTAGTATTTGCAATCATCTATGTTAAGCTCACTTCTACCGACGATCTGTGTAAAACTTGGAAGACACTTTTGCTTTAAAAATCTAATGGTGGACAGTTTCAATAAAGTAGATTATCGCTGGGTTTGATGTTCATGGGAAGGATTTATATCTGTAAAAGTTAGGTGTGCAGTTACCAACTTTTCTAATTTTAAATATATACTATAGTGTGCATGACATTAGTTAATCTAGGAAATAATAATACTGTTGATTAAAACCAAATCTTATTCAATCTATATACGAATTAACCATTAAATTCTAATTTCATCACATAACTGAAGTCAGAGAGAAGGCAATGTGTAATGTTAACCATCTGGGAAAAAAAGATGTGAAGGTCAGTTCTTCTAATCATGATGACTCTCCAGACCATGGCGGCTAGGCACTACCTCTCATTGCAGAGGGCTGAGAACATTGTCCTTACCAATGGTCACAACAGAAGCTGGTCACGAGGCATGACTGATCCTGGAACATAACATGTGACCACTGACTAACTACGCTAAAATTACAATTTGATCAAATAATAATAATAATGTGTTTGTCCAATATAAGGTTGCCAAGCCCTACGTTGAGCATCTTACAAATAATTTCTCACTTCTTATGAATCTGTGGCGTTCAAGGACCATCCTTCCATCTCTCTTTTTACCACTATGCTAGCAATAGGTGGTGTCTCATGGACACTGTTAATGAGTTCCATAGTTGGCTAATAACAAAATAAAATATTAGGCACTGTTCACCCGGGTACTTTCAGTCTGCATCATGCCAAGAGCCACTCATCTTCAACTCCCTTATAAACCTGAATGGTTGCTGAATAGACACTAACCAAATGTATGATCAGATGCACTTCTTGTTGTCAAGAATACACAGCAATAGACTCAATAGACACAAAGAACTTTTTATAACACAAAATCTGTAAATGTTTCACAACATGCAAAAAATGACAAGCAATCCAATCAAATGATTCATGACTTGCAGAAGCTCAAACCTTTCTATCATTATACAAAAGTGACTACAGATAGAGCTACAAATTAAACACCTATTAACAGTATATCTGAGATAGATACAGAACAGTGATTCCTGTTGCTGCTCACAAATGTCACTCAGAATTTTGTCAAAGAAACTGATTGTCTTCAGTTTTACTGTGGGAGAGCAGGAACTGTAACAGCAAATATCATTGCTGATTTTTTAAAAATTAATACCAGACTGGGTTATGCTTTTGACCCATGTGAACTAGCTCACATAGCTAATATCATAATTCCCCAGTTTCAAACGTGTAAGCACTGTCAACAGTCTTAGTGACTTCAAATATGCAAGTTAAACTCTCATACTGCAGAGTATTTGGGTGAAATAACTTTGGAATGTGAATTTGTTGTTAAGGTTAGGCAGTGCTAAATATTTCAGACTTCAACTATCTACAAATTGACAGTGCCACTGGTAGCTATTGATGTAGTGTTACAAATATCTTTTTCCTTTTATTCTGAATTTAACTTTGCCATTGGAGTAACCTAAGAAAAGCAAGCTACCCTTCTTTGTGGCATTAAATTAACATTCTGTTGGAAACACATTAAGCAGACCACACACTGAACCCCAAACCACCCTATGGTAGAACAGTTTCAGATAGACTTCTAAAAGCATTAGTTGCTTCCCATAAAATGCCTCCCACATTCTGCCACATTTCAGAATCAACAGAAGCTGCATGCATCTGCATTCCATGCAGGTTTTATTTGTTGTATGTGTACTACTGTGTTTCTCTTCATATGCAGCTTATTGTTTCTTCAAAAGCCCTCTTAGATTAAATGCAGTTGTACTGTTATTGCCTTATCTTTGATGTAAGTGTTATATCTGGTATGACTAATGTACTATAGTCTGTGGCCAACTGGAATAGCTCTGTGTCTCCAGTCCCTAACACTTATGAAAGAATGCATCATGCCTTTAAGTTTAGAGTTCAAATTGTGTGTGCCAAAATTATTTTAACACTTCCTCTGTTACATCTGGGAAAGCCAGAACTCGCAGACCTCAGTCTCCACATTTGAGTCCAACACCTTTCAGTACCGTGAGAACTCATTCAGGATGGCTGTCTGTGCCACCTGCCCCAACTTAATGGGTAATTATCTCATTAGCGTAAACCCTTAAACCCTGCTCTGCACATGATCAGACACTCTGTCATTGAGCTTTCCAACAAATTAGGGAAGTGCGCTTAGCACTAACCAGCCTGTCAGAACAAGAAGTATTCTACCTGATTTAGCCCTACAACCTGATACTGAGACAGATGCAGCAAAGCCAGCTGGATCCCCATCTACCCCCTGTTCTAGATCACGTTGCTTCCTGCTTTCTTCGCACCGGCTGCACATCAGACCAGTTTGCTCATCCTCTGCCCGCCTACACAGCATATCCCCAGCTTTGTTCCTCCTCTGACTGTCTGCACTGTACATCCCCTGGCTCATACAGTATGTCTTAGCTCACACAGCACATCCCCCAGCTCTTGCCTCTCCACTTGCCTTCACTGGGAACAAGCAGGTGGACTCCTTAGCCTGACCTACAGACACAGAACTTTCCAGCCCATCACTGCATCCAAACCAATTGGATAAAATACAGAACAAACACTGGTCTAGGTTCAGTGATAACACTGCCTGTACCTGGGTGAGAGAGGTGGCCAAGATGGCAAAGAGAACCCAAGTGCAGGTGAAGCAAGCAGGTAGACAGGTAGTCTGATGTGTTGATTGAGCAGGCGGAAGCAAGGGAGTCATTACACATCCCAAAGGAAATTACAGAAACGTAGCCCAAGCGTAAATGCAAATACTGTTTGTATTATCATTTACAGAAGGTCTTAACATTTGCAAGGGTTTGTTGCAGAGAACTGGCGCGAATAGCCATATTCTCAAACAACCAAAACCACCCCTATACCATTTAATAAAGCACTATAGTATTGTAAAGCACGGGTTTCAAGTGGGCACCCTCGCCTGCTGTCTACACAGGTCGGCCCCACACCGTCAGGGACGCGAACCCAGGCCTCCGGCATCACTCAACAGGGACCCAGCCTGGTGAGCTAAAGAGAGATCTCCCTTCAGCCTAGCGGCTGTGGTACTGCTATTACAGGGAAGGGTGGTGACGTCACCGCTGTGGTAAGCCGGCTCTTACACACTCACTGTCGGCCGTAAGCGTTACACTATACAGTATGTATGGTTGAATGACATAAGTAACCCTCCCTTATATGATAAAGTACTAATGCATTGGGCTTAATTTAATTCATATAAGGTTGATCAACTAAGAAACAAGAGTATTCACAAACTTATAGATATCAGTTGAAATTCCTTTGCATCCAGACGGCACTTTATCTCTCTGCCTCCATGAGTAGCATGCCCCACTTTTATGAAACAGGCAATAAAACTGTCAAAGAGCAAGTGAAATCATCTCCGGTCTCTTCTCCACACTGCCAACACAGAACCTGGAGAATTCATTACAATATTTAAACAAGACCACACTGAGATGTGGATGGTGGGTAGTGGGTAGTGGGTAGTGGATACTAGGGCAGAAGGCAAGGAGAGGCTCAATCACGAGCTAGGTTCATCTCACAATCCTAGCCTAATTGTGCCACTAAATTTTAAAGTTGCGGTTAACAACTTTCTGCTCGGTTTCATTCTGTTCTCCAAGACCCAGTCCGCAAGACTGAATACCAAATATTATATATTTATATAATATTATATAAGATATAAAATACATCACCAAAGCAGAAGGCCAAGTTTACACTAAATCTGTTTAAGAATACGAAAGTGTACAGTATGCGATTCAGTTAACAAGTCATTTTCTCCTACTGAAAATCTGTGAAAAGATTTGAAGACTGCTATCCATTAGCAAACCTCAAGCATCCTGAGAGAAGTTGAGCAAATCTGCCATGAAGAATGGACAACAATTATACCAAGTTGGTGTGCAAAGTTGGGAGAGACTTGCACTAATAGATTTGTGGCTGTATTATCTACTAAAGACGATTCCACCAAATACTGAGTTTAAGTTTAAAAACAGGTCCCTTGTTGGGGGGACACTTTAGGAAGAGTTTGAATACTTTTGCAAGGCCATGTGTGGAAGTAGGAGTACTTTACAATCCTCTTTAAATTTTGCAGAGAGCAAATGCAATGTACAGTATATAAGATAGGAGTCAGTTCTATTCCTGTCACAACACAAAGTGGCACATCATAAGGCACATAATCAGATAAACACCTACAATGGTTGTGCTCTGCTAGCCATTATGAAACATACGGTAAACGATGCATTTTAAAGTAAAAAAATAAGAAAAGGCACTACCAGCTTGCAATATGTTTAAGGTAATGTAATGTACATGATAATAAGCACAAAATTAAAAATAATGTACATTAATACCTTGTTTTACAATGTAACTAGTGAAGAACTCACAGGAAAACACCAACAGCATTAAGATGCTTCTGAACTCAACTCAATTCTGTTGCCTGTTTCTTCATTCAGACTACAGAGGAATGTTTTGAAAGGTGTCTTGAAAATCCTTAAACCCCCTTCTAATAATTGTGTTCTAGTAAAATTACTGATGCTCTAGGACATTTTTCCACAAAGATGGAAGTTATTTTTTCATTATGCCATTATTGTTGCCTTTGGGGATGTCACACTCAAAAACACTTTCTATTCTAATGAAGGTTAGATATATTCCTTTAAAATAACAGTTTAAAATTAAAGTTAATTAATTTCACTTTTAAAAGTGACTCTTCACCTTTTGGAAAAAATTGCAATCATTATAAAAGTTGCAAGATTACAGAAGTTGTGAAATGAAGCTTCAATATACGTATCCTTTTGAACTGTTTGACTCACCCTGGAGTATTGACCCACACAATCCCAATGTGGCAGAAATAAACGCATTCTTTGTCTTTCAGGTTTACACAGGAGCAGCGCTTCTCTCGATGCAGGGCCTTGTGAGTGGGTTTTGTCTCTGGGTCACTCTCTGATCCAAGCAGGGAAGCTCCAGGTGATGTTGAATATGCTAATAACAACAACAATAATTACTAAGGGCAATATGCTATTTTCTCATGACACTTTCATAGCTGATATAAAAACATTGTAGCATTGTAAAACAATATAGACCTTTTTTTAGCCATTAAACTCTAGCTAAGCATTCAAATCAATATTTCAAACACAAAAATGCAAGATCTGTCTTTACCTAGGCTCTTAATTCTCAATATTGCAGAAACTGCAGATCCCACAAAAATTTTAATTCTGCCATAATATTCTAGTAGTGTACTGGACTGTATTTGAAAACACAAAACTGCTGCAGAAGGGAGCTCTGTATGTTACAAAATCCTAAATCTACATGTATCATAATATCAAATAAAGTTTAGTTTTCCAAAGAATAATTCATCTCTTCATCACCAGGTGCTACTATTGCTAAGAAATTAAATGTTTCTTCCAAACCACCTAAACCAACAAATACCATTTCTAAATGACAAGGCATGGCTTACTCATTTAGTTATCCTTATATCATCGGTATTGCAAATAATTGCTACTAATAATAGTACTTAATCATAAATAAAATTAATCATTTATCAGCTGTCTACTTTCTGCACATCCTGATTTTCCAAAATCAAACAATCTAACAAAAAGCAGAAACAAATATGGTGTCTCTAATCACTGATTTCCATGGTTACTCCAGGGATCTGTGTCTGTGTGGGGTCTGTTATAAAAAAGAAGAGATTCCACAGGGTTAAGTAAGTAGAGTAAAATGCAACTAGGCTTGGGATTGAGACCTTCTTGTTCTATTTATTATAACACTTTCTTTAGGAAAGAAGGATTGATTCTTTCCTATAGGTACAGGTCAACATTTTTCATAGTTCCTGTTACAGGTGCAGCCTTTTTGCTTTTTTCATTTATGCTTTATACTGTTGTCAGTTTTACCTTTATAACTGCCAGATATTCTGTCTCTTTACCTCGACACTATTGGTCCTGTGAACTCAGTCCAGTTTTCTCTGATAGGTCTCTGTGATAACGGCAGCTCACAAACCACTATATTCCCAGCCCTACCATTGTGTATCCTAAGTTTTTTCAAGTTTCAAGTGGTCTGTCAATACAGTACATATTTTGGACCCCCTCCAGGATTGTAACTCTTACTCGTTGTTCCCCACTCAGGGATGTCGGCACAGTCCTCTTCCTTCCAGGTTGCTGATTCTATTCAAAATCTTCATTATTCATTGAACACTTAAGTAAATAATTACTTATTCATTATTCAATGCTCATCACATTGATTAGACCTTCTCTTTCTCCAGGCTCCATCTTCGTTAAATCACCAGATACTGAGTTATCCAACCCTATTAACTCTGCATCACCCAATCACAACCATCCCTAAAACCACTTTCCCTCAAAGCATTGCTCTGTGTTCACGAAGCACCAGGGAGTTTTTGAAACTCCAGCTGTACTCTCTAGACTTCTATTAGTCAGTGGGAGAAGCTATGCTGCTATCTTGCAGGTGATGCCCCACTCCTCTAGGTACCAACACCTCAAGTCATCCCTGGTTCAGCTGGATAATCCTGTTCCTCAGCAGCACACATCAATCCCATTGAGCCTAGCAAACTACCATGCAGCCCAAATTACCAGCATTTGTGACACCCATGGATAGTGCAAGTTATAGTCCCACAAACCTATAAGACAGCCCAATATGTTACTAATGAGCAGTCCATTTCACTCTCCCTCCTTCCAAACTGAAGTCTAGACACTGACTGAGACCATTCTCCTCCTCAAAGTTCTCATACACCTCTCAGTTAGTCAGAGGAGTGGCCAGTTCCACAAAGTCTAACCTGACAGCTCCTTTCCTTAATGTGAAATTGCACTCCCTCAGAGTGCTAATTTTTTTACCAGACCTGGAGTGCTTTATTCTGCAAGATTTCTCCCCATTAACAAAAGGCTTTCTCTCACAACCTCAAAATCTTTTGATTGTAAAAAGAAATAGAGATGCTGAAAAGTCTCCAGTATTTTGTACTACATTTTATAAATACTCTGCAATTTTACACATTATATTACATTTCAAAGAAAAAATATTTTTAGTCAATACATTTTTAAAAAAAGGTAAACACAAGGTTTCATACAGTACAGTCAATTATATGCGAAAAAACTGAATCTGCAATAATTTTCTTCCTTCACAGACATTTTCAATTATTTGCTGCATTTAACCTTCTAATTTGTTCTTGGCAGTTTTTATTTAACACAGCTCATAAGCACAAATATCGGGGTGGGGGATGGGAAATTAAAGAATGCACACTTTCCGCTAAAATTGAACTCATTTACTGTTTCAGGCTCCTGCATAAGTAGACTTAAATAAAAGATTGACAAACCAAATGCCATGCTGTTCAATGATGCATTTTATGTGAAATATAGCTGCTGAGCAAGAGCTGAGATGGAAAATAAATACAATATAAATATAATTCTTAATTTTGCTTTTTAACAGGGTACCATCAACTCAGCCACCATAGCAACAACGAGGACAATAACCTGGCCACCCAAAATTAAACAAATGAAAATTAGGGAATACCAAATTGTTTTCCCAATGGGGATCCATCTTAATCCCATCCACACTCATGTCAATGCTACTATAAGGGAGAGTCAAAAACAGCATGCCCACCCCTTTACAATACTATCAAAAACACCAGAATAAAAATAATTCCCCTGGTAGACAGGGACCGAGACACGTTGTTCTACATAAACAGTTTATTCAGTAACTAGACTGCCATTCATTACTAACATTCTATGGTATGTTTTAAAAGTGTTCGAATTCTACAATTTTGAGGAACCACCATCATGATGAGTATCAGTTAAATACATTTTCCAGATGCTACTTTAAATAAATTACAAGAATATAAAGGAGACCGTTTGTTAGTTCCCAATCTTACAAAAATAGTGTTGCAGCCATAGAAAGAGTTCTCAAAAAAGTGACCCAGTAAATTCCACATCTATAAGGCATACCACATGTGACAAGCACAGCTCTTCCTGCCCCTGCCAGAATCCCATCCCAGTTGCTTGCTGGCTCTGAGTATCCACACCATTCACTCCCTAAACAGTGGATAATTCAACCACACCAAAATAACTGGGCCCTCTACTGTGGCTGAGCTGCACAACGTCTAGATTACAGAGGGAGGTGACATCATTTCTGTGCCTTGTTATACATGCAGTACACCAACAGATTAAAAGAGTTTAATGTCTTTAATGTTAATCTGAAGACAAAACAAGTGGGATCAAAATCCTGAAAGGTCGTTAATACAGTAGGCACTTCAGGGTCAATAAAGAAACAAGGACTCAGGGATACAAATAGAAATTAGGAGGAAGGGCATTTAGGATTGATAAGAGCAAAAGCTTGATTGCTTGTCTGGGTGGTGGGTCTCAAATCCCTGGGATCATCCACGAAACAGCTGGATGAGATGCTTACCAACAAGCAAAGAAATGTGTTAAACAGACTGAGTGGTCTCCAGATCTTTGTAAACTTTCTAAAGGTTTCTTGCTTTAAAATGAAAAATATCAGACTGTGTTTAATGCACTTGTGTGACAGTAGGGATGGCACTAGATTAAATCCATCCATTTTCTAAGAGCTTTATTTAATACAGGGTCCCAAGGAGCCAGAACCTATCCAGTTAATCAATGGATGCAAGGCAGGATACACCTTGGAAGGAAATCCAGTCCCTTGAAGGACACACACTCACACCAAGGCTTATTTCCCATAAGCAAATTAACCTACCACTCTGTTTTTGGCCTGTGAGGGGAAACTGGAGCTGATTTGGTTACAAAACCTCCATTTGGAAATTTGGAAAACTGGTTAATTATTATTTTATGGAATATCAACAAAAATCATTGTAAGGCAAAAAATAAAATTGACAATATATTTTGTTATGTGTAAAGATTACATGGTATTTGTGTATATGCACTGTAAATATGTATATACAAAAATAACCTGTATAACTACCAATGAATCCTTCGTTGATACCACAAAGCCTTATCATAGTTATGAAACTGGAGCAAAACTGGTTTGAGTCCTTCATTACTGAGGATTTGGCATGCCACAAAAGGTTACACTCTCTGGTGAAAATATCCTTTTGCTTTACACTATTTACGTGGCCTTAAGTGGCTTGTTTTTTGCCTGACAATCAAAGTTTCAAATTGAGGTTAGACTCGTATGAATATAAAGCTCTTCTGCCTGCTGCTTATTCTGGTGACAGTTTAGAGCTTGTTAGAGGAAAAAGATGGATTTCTGAACTGAACCATCTTATTGCTGATGAAACCCTATTATACCTTGTTTTCAGGGATGGTGTATTTTAGTTTACTTACGTGCACTGCATTGACTCCTAAAAATTGAACTGAGAAAACTCATTTAATTGTAGTTTCTATGATTTCCCAGTTTACTTGAATTGTTACACATGAGGACAGGTATCTCTTAGGTTAAAGGAGGGAGATTGCGATGCTGATCTCGTAAATTTACCACAAATAGTTTTAGATCTACATTAGTGTATTAGAAAGCAGAACATGATTTCTGTAAAATAAAACCTTTTATCCCTGGAATGGAATTGATATTTAATGTTTTGTATATCCCAACTGGTATGCATGGGTGATTTATCTTTGTCCCATGTAAAGAAAATTGGTGTTATTGTCAATCTTTTCTTTACTTGTACATTTGAAATCAATGTTTTCTTAAGTATTTTAAAATATTGCCTTCCCTGGAAGTCAAATCATAATCCCCTTTCTTTTTTAAAATATCTTTTGGCCACAAATAATTCATTCACTTCTAATGGTTTCTTATAATATATGCAAAGGATCAAATAATAAGTTTATTCTATGCTGAAAAGAGAAGAAAGAAAACACAACATTTCGGCCATGGAGCATTCTTCAGGTGTGAGGGTGTGAGGTGTGAGGTGTTAGATGTTGCTCACACCTGAAGAAGGTTCCACAGCTGAAACGTTGTGTTTTCTTTCTTCTCCTTTCAGCATGGAATAAACCTATTACTTGTTCCTT